TAAACTTTGTTTTATGTTTTGTGAACTTAATTCACATTACTTAAGGTTAAGACTAATTTGGTCATACAAATCTTTGTCTATATAAAGTTGAATTTAAAGTCTAATTTGGTTGTATGGACTTTAAACTCAAATAAAGCTAATGGACACAAGTTTATATAAAGTATTTTTTCGCCAAATTAAAAGTTAGATTTCGAGAGTATCTTTTTCATGGTATCTCCAAAATTTAAAAATTTTGGGTTTTGAGTTTGACTTTGTGATAGACTCATATTGTGTTTCTGGGATATGGGACTAAGTATCCTATAAGGATAGAATTTATATTGAAAATCTTCACATGTAATCCATGAGGATTCTTTGAGTCAATTATCAGAAACATATTAAGCATTTCCATGACTTATGTGTTTAATTTGGTTTAGGCTTAAATTCTAAAATAATGTCATGTTGAGTTTTTTATATGCTTGCGCTCATTTTTGAATAGTTATTTTATGACTAGTGAATTGAATTTTAGCCCAATTTGGCAATAGTGGGCCGTAAATTCAAAAGAAAGTTTATTTGGATTTAAACTTATTAAAATTAGATTTTAAGTCTAATTGGTTATATGGGCTTTCAATCTAAATAAAGTTGGAATTAAATTTATTTTAATTCATGAACTTTATATCCAAAGTTTTCCTGGGGCGACGATTTAACGTTGTTCAATTGAGTAATAGAGAAATTCTTGGTCACTTTTTCTATGATGTTGTGATTTTCGATTTAGTCAATCAAAGTATCATGTTGCCATAACAACCTCTGTGCACAGAGAATGACTTTACTGAAATCATTTTAATGTTGTGTGAAGTTGTTCATGTGATCTGTGCTCGGCCCATAGGTAGAAACAGGTTGACCGAATAATAACGCGCATATGGTGATAAGAGAAACTCATATGGCTTTTACTCAATTGGTCTAGTAATTTTCAATTTAGTCAATCAAAACATCATGTTGTCATAGCAACCTCTGTGTGTGGAGAGCGACTTTGTTGAAATTACATAGATGTCGTGTGGAATTATTTATGCGTTTTGTGATCAGCCCATAGGTAGACACAATTTAGCAAAATAATAATACACATGTAATCATAAGTATGTGATAATTATTTGGATTGTTCATGTGAGCATTAGTCAGTCCAAAGATAGACTTTTATTTGACAGAACTTATTATCAATGCTTGATCATTACAACAAGATTACCATTGCAGTTAATTTTCTGTCCATAGACGAGATTAATGTTGCACTATGGTGTCTTGCCACGTGTCCCTATTTGGTCTATTTACCCATATTTATGTATGACATAAATTTATGTGAGTATTTTGGTATTGTTCGAAATTTTTTTCATCTGCTTACCTTAAGTCATTTGTCATTATATATTTTTTCTATAAGTTTTATATGCTTATAGAACAATATTAGGTTATTATTGGGACATAAGGTTGATGGATAATGTAGGAAGTTCCACTAAGGACATTTGATGAAATAATATATCTTTTGATTATTGTTTCGATAAAACTAAATAGAACATAAGGAAGTACATTGTGATATGTCTAAATCTCGTCTTCAATCTAAGGCACTTTAATTGTGCATAAGGTATTTCTTTTGTTATGTGATCAAAGAAAATTTGAACGAGAAAAGACTTAATGTACAATTTTTCCTTCATCAATCCACATTCTAAAGTTTGCTTCCCAATATGAGTTAGCTAGTTTAGTTTTGTACCACTGGAGTATTTCGTGAATAATTTTTATTAGTCACTCACATAAAGCAATCAAATTTTTAAGTGGTACAAGGCATATGAATCTAACTCAATTTTGTTAGGAAATGTGGTTGACTACTCCTCTTTGTCAATAATATGAGAAGCGATGTAATTCATTATTAATAGAGTTTGTGAATTGAGTAAAACCCACATCCCTTATGGATTTTCAGCTTACACTTTGGGGTTGTCCAACTAAGGTAAGACTTTCATGTCTATAAGTAAATTTGGTCTAAAGACTGTGGTAACTACTCATTCAAAATTCTATAAGGCTTTTTGTTAATAATGGATTTAAAGTCCATTTGAGGAAGTTGAGCTTGAGTGGGAGATAAGGCTATAAAGAATAATGTTATAAAGCATTTTTTAGAAATGCAAATATGGTCCCAAAATTCAAACTCAACCACCTCCAATAAATATACATAAAGCTTTGATGAAATCATGTGAATTGACATTTTGAGGTCTTGTCAGATGTCTAAAAGTCTGAGTCACATTGGTCATAAATGTGGCTTATGGATTCAAAAGACAATAATGAGAGACATAAGGTATGTTAAGTCAACATAATTTTCATCTAAATATGGATTTTGGTTACAAGAGGCTTTTCTTTTAGTTTTGATGAGAAACTCTTTGTAATCTATGTCATTTTGAAGTATTTGATATTAAGTTAACTCCATCTACGGTATTACAATCATATTAAGTCATTATCTCAGTTTGTATTGAGATAAATAAAGTTAATAATTGTATATACTATAGGTTGGGTGGTAGATACTTTTAAGAAAACTTGAGTTATCAATCTCATTCATTGTCCCAAGAATGAGTTAAAGTTTATAATGGACAAAAGATATACATATTGTTGGTAATCTTTTGTATTTTCAAGAATGTATGTATTTAGATTTCACATACATGTAATTATTTGACAAATGATTGAATATTGATTAGTAACCTCTTGAATGCAGCCAAGAGGTTAATAAAGTTTTGATTAAGAACAAAAGAGAGTTTATACTCACTTAAGGATTATTGGATCATTTGGGAGATCATTTGGAACTCTAAATTTGAGTTTATATGATGTCTGTAAAATTGAACGATCCAAATTTAAGTCAAGCTACATTAAACTGCTAGTTGGAAGAACTAATTCGGAAAGTGTCAAGCAGACACTTAAGTTTATTCCTCTTTAGCAATTGAGATTTAGCTTTTCTGAAGGCATCTTATAAGGCTAAAGGTTATGGTTGCATAATATTATCACTATGTTGCATGTTGCGGATGATATTGAATACCACTAAAGTTTATTGTGATAATATTAGTTTGCCATTTTTCAGCAACAAAAATTGTTCATAAAGTTTCTTGTTGTCAAGGATAAAATATATGTTGATGAATTTTTATTGAACACATAAGGATAAATTTATGCTAGCAAATTCATAGCTCCATTATAAGGTATACTAAGGTATTAACACTTGAAGTATTTTATGAGTATACCGCTCATATAAGTGTTACTATGGATATTGCCTTAGTTCAGTGGGAGTTAGTGCTCAATGTTTTCTTGAATGCTATAACTCCAGTAAAGTTGATGGTTCTGATTCGTTATGAATCACTAAAGTTTTCTAGTTTTGCGACCTTTTGTTGCAATTATGGATTGATCTCACTAAGGATTTAAAGTTGGACCAATTGGAAATAGACATGTTAAAGATCACATTGCATGTAATTTCCATGCCACTCACCATATTTGATCTATGTCATTGAGTGTACTAGTATGGTGACTTCCGGGGTTTATCCACGATTTGTAATGTGGTGAAAGCCGCGGTAGTTTCATTGCTAGTATATGAGATTTACCAGATTGTTTAAGGCAGTCTGATTATGAATAGCATAAAGTTGCACAATTAAGGAATTAATATAATTGCTTCGGAAATAATATGTAGCCCAAGTGGGAGATTGTTAGGAAATATTTTATTTCCTATGTATAATCTAATTATGGGCAACATATTATATACAATTATATTATATTAGCTATTCAATTAATTAATGGACTCAATTAAGTGATCTAAATTAAGTAGAGTTCATGGACTACATAAATTGATATGGACTTAATGAGTGGATACCTAATATTACTAGGGTTAAGTGATAATGGGTGACCTACCCTATTAGTATATATAGACCCTCTTGGTTATGGTCCCCAATATACTAAATCAAATACAGTTTTCCTTCCCATCTGAAAGAAGACGACGGTCTCATCTGAGGAATAAGGCGATTTAGTTGAGGAAGACCATAAAACCAACACCGTTCCTCATCGAGGATGTGTTCGTGATCCAACATGTTCCATGGTGATCATATCTATAAATCCACCTAAGGTATGCTTCCGCTATCTAGTTTGATTCTCGATTATTTAATATGAATGCTCCTGGGATAAAGCGATGTTTTTCGCATAAGGTTAATTCCAACATATTTAACTTATTTATCTATTCATTTAGTTAACGACCTGTGAGCTGAATTTTACACTTACACTATTGTTTTTCAACTTGGACGGGACTCGGCCGACCAGAAGTTGGAACTGATCTGGGTGGGTTATTTGAACCAGGTAACAACGGACCCGGTCAAACTTAGTCAAAACCCGACCAACCCGGTATTGACCCGACCGACCCGGGTCAACCCGATTGACCTAGTCCCTATATATTTTTAATATTTTTTTAAAAAATATTTTTTATATAAGAAAATAAAAACTATGTAAATATATTGATATAGTAAATATTTAATGGGACATACAATTCTTTTAACAGTTTGACGTACAAATATTATATACAAAACATTTTTTTTTTTTACTTTTATGTATATTAATATTCAAAAATATTATACATATAATTTTAAAAATTTTAAAATTAATTATCCAATGTAGCAATTGACTCAGTGACACGACGGTTGAATCAGTTTAGTTTTGGGTCAGGTTTAAAAACTATGACTTATACAATAAATTAACTCAGATTATACAATTAATCTGATGCTTTAAATTAGGAAAAATTAGAGATTTAGTCCTTTAAGTGGCGTCGATTTGAGGTTTAGTCCTTTAACTGACCAACTTTTAGAAAAGGTCCTGTA